AAGGACCCGAGCACTCTGTGTCTGATATTTTGCTTGTCTAAATGCTTTTTATACTGGAACATCACAAGCTCTTCATTATAGGTAATACTGACTGAAATATTGTGCAAAGTCTTTAAACAATTTCAAATGTAGCCCAATAGTCTTTCTAGTGCATTCTTTAAAAGTTACTTCTTCAAGAGAAGCCAACATGTAAGCTTTTCCTTTATAAAGCTTCACAAAAAGACCAAAGGCTGCCACAGTTAGAATGCCCCTCTCAAAACGACTACCGACTCCCACTGTGATTCTCCATGGGACTAATGCCACAGGTTGCTCTTGATAACTACTCTCTTCATTCACCTTCTCCTCATGGTGCCGCTTTGTACCTCCTGACAGCAGAAGGGGGCAACCATTTTTCATGAGGCAAACTTAGCGTGACTCCAGTTAGAGAGGCCATTTTGAAGGATGATATCTTAACTGTGAGAAACCTGTGGTCTCAGTTCCACTGAAGACTGCCCTGTAGTGATTCTAGGAAGGAAAGGGGGGAAAAAAAACTTCAGATCCTCAAATCTAACATGCTTAAAAAAAACATTTATCAGTGATTTGGTACCACAAACACTGAACTGCCTTGATCATAATCACCTGGTTACTGCATAATGTCATTACAAGGAAAGGAGAGGACTCTGTTAAATCATTTAGTCTTGCTGTGTTGATTTAACTACTTTGAACAGATACAATGGTAATGCACTCTATTGAAAATCAATAGGTAGGTAGACAGACAAAATAAAAGGAAATACCATACAAAGTCAGTCCATTTAGGTAGCAGTTGCACGTGGTCACTGCTCAACATTATTCAACAATGAGGTGCTTATATAAAGCCTGGGTAATCTTAAATAATTTATAATACCTTGCATTTCTGTAGCCTCTTTCTACTAAGAATTGTGAAGCACTTGACAAGCATTAATGAATTGTGACTCATGACAACTCCTTGAGGCAGAAAAGTAGGGCAGGGCCAGATTAAAATATCATTAACAGCAAGGGGAATCAGTAGCCTCTACATTGACTTTGATGGAATTACACTGGCATAATCTATATAAAACCCTTTCTTTCTGCCAGTCCTTCCACAGCATCTGATGAAGAGGTTGTTGTTGCCCATGCAAGTTCATGCCTCTCTGAACCAGTTAGTCTCTAGCAGGGTGCCACCCTGTCGTCCTTCTACTTGACATAATGGTGATCATAATCTTGACTGGCTGCTGTTGGCTGTACATATACGGAGAAACCAAAGCAGAGCGGTCACATCGTGTTTATACACATTTGAACATATGCTAACATAAGGGCAATAAAATATCACACTTGGGGGTGTAAAATGACCGCTTTCTCAGGTGAGGAAGAATTTGTTCTACTCTTCTGTACAACACTATACAATTGTCTGACAGCGGGATGTGTCACCTTCCTCAGAAACATCAGTCATTGGCTACTACTGGAAGTAGCACATTGGACTTTACGAAACAATAGACTGATCTGGCATAGCAAATCTCATGTTCAAACACACAGATAGAGAGCCTCCAATTCCTTATCTTTAACTCCCACACTCATCTGCATTACAAATAATTACTAAAGCACACTTATGCACTAGGCAATTAAAAGTGTCCATCAGCATCCCGGGTAATCCCTTTTAAAACCTTGGGGTTGTAGAATGTTTCTCCTGGGATAGGACTCACTGAATTTTACAACATGATGGCCTGGAAACATATTTAATTTGATTCGGTTATTTATTTATGTAGCTAGATTTTTTCAAAAATTCAAAAAGGAAGGAGGAAGATTTGTGCGCTATGAGGGTTACACAGTGGATGCATTCTGATCGAATAACAAAGAACTGTAGGGAAGGGGGCAGGGGGCAGGGGTTGAAGGGAACATCAAGAAAATGCAAGCCATCCAATACTTCAAGGAAAAGAATTGTTATCAATTAGTGTTGTATGGTGCTTTGAAAAGATAAAGTGCTATTTAACACTAAAGGTTATTCAGAAGAACATGTCTGTGTGGCCCCAAGAGAAGTGAAACAAGATTTTCAAATTCTAATGGAGCTTGGGCATTCTAGTAATTTCCTCTCGTCTCATAATATTTCTTAGTGCTGACCTCTGATCTCCACACCATGATAATTTGGGCATTCTTAACAAGCCTGTTCCACAAAGGTTAGCTTCTTCTAGTTAGGCAGTATTTAAATGGCACTCAGCATGGGTCCCTGATCTGCAGAATAATTTTAAAAATTAAGGTTTCAAAAGAACTCAGAGCCTTTCATGATCGTTCTCTCTTGTCCTCATTTATTTTTAACATCTTTCTAGAAGCAGCATTTGCCATGGCTGTGCTTCAGAAACAAGGAGCTGGGCTAGTGCCACAGAAAAAAGATGCCCCCAATCCCAAATGAAAACTTAGAAAATGCTGTAGTAGAACAGACCATTGGTCTATCTAGCCCTGAACACCATCCCCATGGGTAGACAATATCAACATTTAAATAAGGCACCAGCCCTGTAGAATGTTCCTTTGCCTATATAGTGAGCATCAGTTTATGCCCCATAAGAAAGAAGGTTAAGAGAACAAGAAAATATTTAAAGAAATCCCAATTTAAAAAATATACGCTGTTTAACATAAAAATAAAAGCTATAGCAGCATTGTCCACTTTTTAAAGAATGAATCAAAGGTATTCATTTAATTGCTAGGTTGGTTACTGATTTCTGTGCCTTAGTTTCCTTTTCTGTAAAATAGGGGTATTAATATTTACCCATCATTATAAAGCATTTAAATATTTTAAGATTAGAAAGCATACATGATGAGTGCAAAATGTTATAATGCAGTCTCAGCTGGGATTAATGGGTAGCAGTAGCAGAAATGCAAAATTAATAAAACTAAGTGAAAAAAATTAAGTCAAATGAGCAAAGAAGTCTCTTTTCTAAAGCTCTCTTGAGGGCTGCAAAATTAAAGATTTGGAAAGACAGAAAGGGATTTGTGGGGCCACATATGAGTGGATTGGAATATGTTTGTGGCCACTACAGCCCTCCAATCAAGCAAATGATTATCATTATATGCTACATACTGTTCTAAGGAGCTGAAAGTAGGATGCAAAACTAGATTTCTTCTATAACCAAGCACCAGAGACAGAGAAGAATGGGAGAAGAGGACGCGGTTAAACAAAATGTTGGAAGACTGATTCTGATTAATTGATAAGCTTTGTGAATGTCAATACTTTGGACACTGTTTATGCCACATGGACAACTTCTGTTTTTTACCTATATCACGGACTGAATTTGGGGATCAAAGTGAAAAAAACTAAGAGTTTGGCTGTGAATCTCATGCCACTAAACAAGAAACGAAATTGCTAGGATGGGAGCACTGTCAAGGGAAAAATGGAGTTAGGGGACAGAAATGATCTTTATACTGACAAGAAATAACAATAAAGCCAAAAGAGATTGCTAACAGTTAGAAGTAGGACAAATATGAGACAAAGCAGCTGAGGAAAAGGAAATACTATCTGAATGGAGAAGATAAGATAGTAAGACATACAACCAAGATGAATACATGAGGCCCTGGATACTGAGAGATGCTCAAAACTTTGAATGGCAGAGGCAAATGTCATTTTGCAATGTCGCTTTTCTTCAAATTGAACTATTTCCAGAGATAGAAGACATTTAGATTAAACAAAACAAAACCAAGAACAGCTCCCACCAATCCTGAAGCTCATATACTCCAAGTCGTTCCTGTTTTGTTGCCTAAATAAATGGGAACAACACACATAATGGCTAGTACTATGACGCAAAAAGATCTATTCTGGACCAAACCCTTTACACTTTGTGGGATTACCAAGGTTGGATTTAAGAAAGCTGAAAATACAAATAAAAGTAGCTGTAAATGGAAATTCCAAGGATTGCTTTAGAAGGAAGAGATCAACTTCTTATCAGGGGCAGCATGTTAATAAGGGACAATGATAATGTGCTTTCTTCACACCTTGCCCCTGATCCATTTCACATGCACCACACGGTACCCATTTACCAGATAGCTGTCCTTAGGAATGCCCCACTCTTCTTAGAAAAAGCTTCATTTGCAGACAAATGTAAATAGTAAAATTGTTGCCCCCAATAGCACCTAGAGATTTTTTTTTATCTAATGAAGTTTTTACTGATGAAGGATGCTCAATTAAGTTCTGAAGACTGAATTCCTCCCACTGCTCCCACTTTGGGTACAACATGGCTGAAGCAGTAAGAATCTTTGAAAGCAATCTTCACACTGCCGCTCTGCCTCAGGCCTGCCTTATAGGAACTGCAGTGCAAAATGGTACAGTATGTAGCACTCATAGCATTTCAAATCTTCAAAGCATTTAACAAACAAAACAATTACAAGCTAACAGTGGGGTTCAGTTTTGATAGCCCATTCATGCCTTACCTTCTTAACTGGCATAACCAGTACTGGCAATGGTAATGAGGCTTCTGTGATAAAGGAACTCAACCAGAACCCCATACACACTTCACATGTATCGACTGTAACTCTTTTGTCAAACCCAGTTCAAAAGACAATGCCAAACTTATGGCTGAAGAAGTCATCTAGCCTACTGAAGAACCCTACCCTGCTGGGACGCACTTCAGTCTGTTGTGAAGCATGGGAAGCTTTGTGCTGACCAACCTCTCTCAGGATAACTTTAATTACTCCAGGATTTTGGACAGCTTCCTTCTATCAAAGCCTTGCCTGAAGGAAAGTGCAAGGTTTTTTTTCAATTAACAAGAAATCTGATGCCAATATTTTTTGTAATACTCTCCACAAATACTCGTGCACTTGGCACATTCCCATTCCACAGACAGCAGAGAGATGGGAGTTTGATATAGTGATGACAAAGCTGAACACACAATGAATCTTGGGCCCTGCAACTGGGGTCTAATTTATGTAACTGTGCAGAGGGCTTCCGGCTGATTTGAACCCATACAGTCAATGATTAAAGGAATCTTGTTAAAGGAACAAGTATTGAATCCATCACATACCTCTGAGAACAGGCAAGTCTGAGAAAGTGTCTCTTCTTTGCTTCTGGTTGTAATAGTCCACACTTTTCAGAATCTAAGCTGAAACAAAATGATATTGAGAAACCTGTGTTTTATATGTATGCAACCATTCTGTTCCTGCCCTCAGTTTAAGCACTTACCAAGGGTAGAAGGTTGTAGAGCCATTCAGGATTATACAAACCCTTCACCACAGCGCCCTCGCTGCTCCCTTGTGAAGATCAGCCAATCATGCACTCAGGATACAAACCACAAACCACGCAGGAACTAGCAGACACGGCAGCTCAGAGAGTTGGGCGTGGGGCTTAGTTAGCATAGCATGGTTTTGCTTTTCTCACTGCCAAGGTTAAACCCACATGCAGAATAGGTTCTGCAGTTCTGTGCTCTAGTTGCACTGAACAAGGTCCCATGTATACCCCATGACACGCTCATTCCTCTGGCTCTGACCATGTCCTACCTGTAGTAGAGACCATATTCTGCGCACCATACACAATCATTCTGTTTGACATATAGGAATGAGATCCCAAGTGTCAGTCTTGAAACATTGTGCTTTTCATACTGCAAGGCATCAAAATGGCAATGCATTGCCTATGTGCTAATTTGCAGGGATGTCTCCTGCCAAAATTTCTCCTTCAGTTTGGAATGGCCTATGCCCAGGCCTGATCCATGTACAATGCATGCAAGTGTCTGTGTAAGTCTCTGCAAGAGAGAGCATGCAACCACTCTGTGCTAGGGGTGGATGAGACAAGAATCAGCCCCACAAAGCAGGGATTTTAGTAGACTCTGAAATGAGAATAGCTTGCCAATGGGTCTGTAAATCATGTGGCAATAGGTGCAAAGCGCTCACTTCCTGTAAGCCACAGTCTAACTGGGGAACATATTCATTCATTGATGCATCCCGTTCAGGCACTGTGGGGTTGGGGCGTAGCCTTGTCCTGGAGGCCTGGATGAGGGGACCGAGAGGGGAAGGAGGTGGTGGTGGAGACTGACAGTGGTCAAGGCTGGTTTTGTGGTAGCTTGTCACTACTGAATTTCTTTTTTGCTCAGATTGTGAAATAATTATGGATAGTAAAAAAAACCCCCCAAAACAAAAAGCCCCATGAAAATAAAAGGAAAACCATAAAAGCAGAGGCCTCTTTGCCTCTTGTTTGACTGAGATCAAAACACCTGCCAGAGCCCAACAATCAGTCCCTCCCCACAAGAATGAATGCGACAGGGCTCCACCTGCCCCTGGCAGCAGGGCTCCTGTGATTGGCAAGGCACAGGAGGGCTAGAACTCTGATTGGCTGAAAAGAGAAAAGGGGTGGGTCTGGGCAAATTATTGACAGAAGCTTCCAGGGTGCAAGGCAGCACTGTGTAGCCAGGCCGTCTCAGTCAGGAGGTGAGGGCGGGACTTGCACAGATGATTGACAGCTCATTTGAATGCAGGGGGACGGGTAGAGAGCAAGCATTCTGATTGGCTGAGGAGACAGAGTGGGGTGGGCCTTTGCATCTGATTGATGGCAGTTTGAATTTTAGGCGGGAAAATGATGCCCAACGGTCATGGCAACTCTAGTTCCCTCAGGTAAAGGGAGTTGAGCCTGGCAGCATGGGCCCCAGCCTTAGGTGCTGCATGGGCTTCAGAGTGTGGGCAGGCGACCCCCTCTGCCCACAGCTAACCAGTACCCATTTGCAGTCGGCCCGAGGCGGCGGCTCTGCCTGCCCCTGCTGGGGTGTCTTCAGGGCCAGGGAGCGGCATGAAGCACAGCTACCCTGACCAGAGCCCTTGCTGTTATGTGTGTGGAGGTGGGAAGCAAGGATTGCCCCCATGCCATCCCACCCTTATGCATCACCCTTCATCCTGCTGCTAGGACCAGCCAGCAACTGCTACCAAGGACTGGCGGGGGCCGCCCCCCCCTCCCCCCCCCCCCCCCCCCCCCCCCCCCGCGGGGGGCGGGCGCACCAAGGACTGGCGGGTCCAGCCTCCCCTTCCCCCTCCCCTCCCTTCCCTCCCCGGGAGCGGTGTCGTGCTCTGTACAGCAAGGTCCTGCCCTGTTACCACTCGGACAAGCTTATCACCCTCTGCCGGCGTCGCCTTTCCCTCTCCAACCCTTTTCCCTGCGGCATGGTGATGGCTACCCCAGTCATCATGTGGTGAAAGTTCGACGAAAATCAGAAATACCAAAATTTCTGAGCCCAGGATCCTCAGATCTCTGAATTTCTTGTCATCCTTTGCTTCACTTGCGCTTCAGGGCTGTTTTCTTGATGGGGCTTCCTTGACCTGGCTCATCACATTTCAGGGCTCATCAATACCATTTGAAACTTGGCCACACACAGCTCTACCTACCTTCTAGCCTGGGAGGGGTAAATCTGCTCTTCTTCCTGCCCTTCCAGTTGTTGCTAACATTAAGGCACAACGCTGCAACCTGCAGGGACCAGCTCTATTTGTCCGTCTCACAAAGTAGTATGGATATGGTGACAAAAAAGACAGGCAGATTATTCAGCAGAAACATTTTGTGCCAAAAAAGAGTTGCCCATTTGAGGCAAATTTGCCAGATTATTTCAATCAAAAAACACCCCTGAAGATTCCATACAGTGTAAACATTTCATTTTAATGTCTTTTTTTTTTAATAAAAAAACCTTTTATTTTTTACATTTGCTTTGATTTTATTTTGAGAAGTTTAAAACCAGCTAAAAAACTCTTCAAAATTAAACTGCTTTTAAAATTTCAGGTCAAACGAAACATTTTTTTGTTTGACACAAAAGTAAACCATTTCACCTCTTTGGTTTGCCAGAAATTCACAATATTTTGTCTGGAACTAAATTAAATGCATTTCTTCCCAATACTGTAAGTAAAAGAAAACAACTCCCTCCCACGGCCCACCCCCAGTTATTTGCACAGCTGTACTAACACTAACCCAGAGATAGCTGGCTTAGGGAATGAGAAGCAGAATGTGAGAATCAAATATTGATTTCTTGCCTAGTAAAACAATAGGCTAAATACAAACCACAACTTCATTTACGTGACATTTTATTTATGATATTACCTGACAAAACAGAAGACAGGAAATTCACAGCTATATCCAATTCTAGGTACTCAGCTGTGAATTCTCCAGCTTTATGGTTCAGCTTAACATGAACTGTGTTAATGTACATCATTGTTTCTGTTTTTTGGGAGGAATAACGTTGGCAAAGATGACATTTTAAGTTAATGATCTGCATTTAAATTACAAATCATTGAGTTACATCATTTTCATTAGGTGTGCTACTCTTTTAGAGATGGACCCAGGGTACTAAATAAATAAGCTATTCTAAGTATTTTCAAAAATTACATTGTAGAAATGTATGACTAAGAGGGACTTCAAAAGAACTCTTGGTCCAACTCCCTGTATTGAGGCAGACTCAAGTACATCTACATCATCATTTAGATCCAAGCATCCTATATACCATTGTCCCAAATTAATCCCTCTAGAAATCCATGACATTGCATTATAATGATTTTGCACAACTAAAATATTTGGGGGCATTTAAAGGTAGGGGGACATCTGTGCTGATACTGCCTATGCTGTGCCTGTAAATACATATGTGCCTGCTAGGCATAGAGGCAACTTCAAGCAGGAACTTTTGTACATTTCAACATCAGTAAATTACCCTTTTAAAAAAAATGTATTGAATGCCTTTCTTGCTTGTAATGGATACCAAAATCAAAGTTTTAGTTCTAAGAAATTCAGGATGAATGAGGGAGGATCCAGCCAAGAAAAAAAAAAAGACACTGGTGCTAAGTGTCCCGCTCAAGCTAGTTATGATTCCAACAGGGTTATCTAATTGACTTGTGAAGAAACAGATTGATATGTGATGCTATATAACCAATGTCACAGTGCATCTCTGCACTGAGAGAAAAAGAAAAATACACAAAGGCAAAAGAGAAATTTCATGATTAAAATTTGTAATAGCTTCATTGAAACACATTATAAAATCAGTTTTTTCTCTGCAGGAGTGAGACAGATAAAAATTGACTCCATTTGAAGTACAAACAACAAAGATAGTCAGGGAGTTATAAAACAGATAGCACCCTCCTTAGAAAGATTTGTCTTTTGCTCTCAGTTCCTAGTGGTTGCAGTGATCTCTCTCTCTGAAAAATCTTAATTAAACCAATACATTTTCCATCTAAGATGCTTGAAGATGTGCACACTTCGATTAAAAAAAAGGTTAATTATCATCTTTATTTAAAAAATGAAGGTGGTAACATTTTACTGTTTTGCTTCAAATTTATGTCTATCCTTGTATTAAAAAAACCCAAATGAATCAATCAGGAATGTGATGGGGGGTCAGAAAGGAGAAGGGTGTTGGTTGATGGGAGAAATAAGATAGAAACACACACATTTATTATACATGTTAATATCTTGTCTTTGGAAGGTGCAAAATACAATTATAGGCTGGGTGCCTGTCAGGGCTTGAAATCAATTTGATACACAACTAAGGTAGCCTTCATTGGTGACTGTCAGGAGTTGTACAAAGACCTACCCACCCTAGTGCTAACTAATGAAAAGTAGGGAGGGGAACAGAATCATCTTCTAAAACTGTGAGCTGACAATTCACAAGCATCATTGAAATCATTTGGAGGCTGTATTCCCTTTTTATGCTATTACTGCATGAACTAAAATGCACCCCCCCCCCCCCCCGTTTGTCACACCAGCTGCCAACACTAATGGATCCAAGCTAATCAGTATAGAAACACTATTCTTACACTTTAGTGGAGTCCTCAAGCATGAGACGTATCCTTTCTTATTCCATAGTTCCATATATTGTACTGGCAGTGCAATCTAGTTTTTACTCGCTCAAGCCTGGTTCTGGCATTTGAATTTAGACTGCTTGTTGTATGTGTTCAAACATGCTAATTATAGAGAGATCATACAAGACAACTGAAACCCTGGTTTAAGAATGGAAAGTATTGTATAAGTGTATTTAAACTTACTGGTTAATAAAATTTGCTGTCCCTTCTCATTTCAGGTGTCTTAACACTTATATATATTTTTAATGTATAGAAGTCAAAGGACTTTACTAGGATTGCATCCATTATTATGTACATAAGTAAACAGCACAGAAAGGTTAGGTGGCTTGCCTGAAGTTAGTGAATTACTATATTTTCTCATGTACAATATACATTTTTATTCCAAAAAATAGCTGCTGGAAATTGAAATGTGCGTTATATGTGATATATACTGTAAGAACAGTTTCTGCCAGTTACAGGGCAAACATAAAAGTAAAATCTGCACACAACTCACAGGGAGCAGAACACGGAGGAGACCTGGCTGCCTAGCTGCTGCTACTTAGTTACTTACTACAAAGATTTTTTTATTCTTCATTTTGCCTTTCAAAAACAGGGTACATATTTTATTCCGGGAGATGTAAGCAAGAAGATATGGGCATGACAAGGGTAAGAGCAGAACCAATCTCATCTTTTTATTTTGTTGCCATAATGCAGTCTCCCTTATCTGTTCATGGACCTCCATTTCATGCTAATCACCTCCACAAGGTAATTGAAAAAAACATTCTTTTCCATCCCCTTATTTTTGGGGGGTTTGCTAACAAACACTCCCAGTCCTACCCGGCCTATGTAGATGTGAAACTGAGAACTACACTATATCAACCTATTCCTTTACCATCAAAACTAAGTGGGTAATAAATAACATGTCTTCCTTATGCTTTCCTATTTGCAGAATTGTGGTGGTTTGCTGAGCTGGAGCTTGAAAACACACAGGCAGGGACTGCAGCATGGGAACCCTCTGATATCTCTTATTAACTTTATACACTGAACTGCTGCTTATCATATCCATGGCATTCAGGAGGCACATGAAGAACTTGGTAAAAAAATATTCTGATGCTGAGGTAAAAGTCAGGGAAGCAACTTCTAATGACCCTTGGGGCTCCTCTAGTTCGCTAATGTTAGAGATCAGTGACCTGACGTACAATGCAGTTTCTCTTTTGGAAATTATGAACATGATATGGCACAGGATGAATGACCATGGAAAGAACTGGAGGCATGTGTATAAATCCCTCACACTCTTGGATTATCTCATCAAGAATGGATCAAAGAAAGTCATACATCATTGTCGAGAGGGCTTCTTTAACATTCAAGCATTAAAGGACTTTCATTATATGGATGAGGATGGAAAGGATCAAGGTAAAGGTGGCTTGACAAGTCCTGTCAATTAAAGTTAAGAAGGTGCTGGTGGGATTACTTAAATTAATTGCTGAAGGAAAGATAGCAAGTAATTATAGCTGCACCAAAGAAATTTAGAAAGAGGATAAGGAGGAGCAATTTACCATCATATCAGCAAAAAAAGTATGCATAAAAAGCACCTTCCTAACAAATAAAATCAAGGGTTAAATCTTAGATCCATTGACTCTGATGGAGCTAGGATTTCACTTCATATGTCTATGGACTAGTGAAAGAAGTTTAAATACAATGTGGGGTGAGCTGAAATGCTGGAACTGATAAAAGATTTACATGCAGTTGGCATTTCTGAAAAATGGTGTGATGAAAATAAGCAGTCAGAAACCATATTTTTCTGGTTGCTGTAAAATATACATTAAAATAGGGTGAGTTGTAGTACTCAACATAGGACTTTTCAAGAGAATTTGTAGGTGAAGTGCATGAAATAGCATCTGTGAGTATAAAAGTCTCATGTCATAGGAGTATTTATATGACCACATAAATTAATATGGCTTCTAAGTGCCTCATAGTAACATGCAAAATGTCCAACAACTGGGAGGCAAATGCTGAACATGAACAGGCCCTGTAGTCTCTAAAACTGATAGGTCTCATGGCAAGTAACACAGGCTTTAGCTCTGTAAAAAAGTGTGATTGATGCACTAAATAATGGTGACACCTATATAATTAGGTCTGACATTATTACAGTGGGGAATTCAGGTCAGTTTCCACTGAAATTGTTCATATTTAAAAGTGAAGGTTTGATGTTTACCATTGGTATGCCTTTCCCATCAGAACTTACGTACATTATCCCATCACAGGAATGATGAAAAGTGGAATTTGATGGCTTAGAAAAATGGTAATGGAGTATAGGAGCATTTTAGTCAGTGGAACCTGTGACCATAAATTCTTGTCATATGACATCTATGCAGTGACCTTTGAGAAAAGAGCTGGAAGTCACACTCCAGTGCAGAGTAGGAAAGTGTCCATATTACAAAACAGCCACCTAGTTTCATACCAGTTGGTCCACTCGCTGGCGATCTGTACAGAGAGATCATGGACTGAACATGGTAAGGCCATAGTAAGTGAATTTATCATTCAGCTCTAGCACTGGTTCCTTTAGGGTATTATTGATGACACACCTGTGAGCCAGTTTAGGAATCTTGCTCTGCCCCTGTGCATAACACCTATTCTGGAGATAACAGAGGATTTTCCATCTGGTACCTTTTACAAAGCCTCTGTCCTAAAGCCAATTCTAGTTTACTGCAAAGGATGAAACTGGTAAAGGATCTGGGAGTTTTATTTAAAGAAAATTAGTCTAATCAGCCATTAATATGTGTGTGCATGTGCGTATGTATGTGTGCGCGTATTATATGGGTTAAATCAGGATGTGGAAATCCCACCCTAAAATGGACTTAGGTCTTAATTGGAATGAGGATTATTTACATAGGACATGGAATTCCTCATCAAGTAATTTTGCATTCTGGGGAATAAATACGTGGATTATAGTGTTATGTACAACACTTATTCTTGCTGTAGTGATCCATGAAATTGCAGTTAATTTTGTTGAAATGAACCATTATATTTTTAAGCAGAAGTGAAAGAAAATGAGAACGAGAAAGTAAACTGCTAGAAGCTGAACTTCAAACACAAAATTAAATTATTAGTAAGAATGCAGTCCTGCTAGGATCTGCATGAGCTGGTAGATGAAGTTACTTGTTTGTTGGCCTTCAGACCCAACCAGACATACACCTTGCCATAATAAGTTAAATGAATTATTGGTGGCGATGGGCCTGTCACATTGGACAATCCATGTCCCTATGTGATGCATGTGAAAGTGAATTCTAGGTGATACAAGCGTAATGCATCTCCTACTGACTTTGTGATGCTATTTGTATCTGTCCCACAGAACAAAATAATCACATCATGACACTACATCATGACACTGCTATAGTTCGATTTTCATGTAATGATGTTGCTGCAGTGAATAATGATGTGCTTCATCTTACACTGATATGAAATTAAGTACATTCAAGACCATTTCATCATCCTACAAGAAGCTGAGGGTCACAAGCTTAGACTTATAAACACTGGAACTGTCCCTCAACCATTTCGGATTTCAGTGACTCTCTTAACTTTGTGGTAGTATGTAGGTCAACCTATAGACCGAAACTTAACTGGCTTATGCAAAAATCAGTTTGCCGTGCCTGGACTCTCCAGCTCGAAATAGTTATCAATGAATAAATAAAAGCAATAGTGATATAAATACAGTAATGCATCTTAACACTGAATTCTTAAATGTATACGTCTGTGTAAAATAGATCTCGAAACACAGGCAGAGAAGATATGAACAGACCTCCACCGTTGTCTCTCACCTGCTATTATAGGTATTCAGGTACATACGTTAAGGCCTCTGCTCACACTAAGGATTAAGAATAAATATTCTTCTGCTCTCCCATTTCTACAGTATCTGTCAGTATAAGAAGGAACATCGTGACACGTAGGTTTTAGTAAAGCTGTAACAGGATGCCAGCACTGTGTGTTTATTTTTTCGGACAGAAAGTGCTTTCAGTTTCATCACTGTAACAGCTTCCAAGTAAATTCAGGTCTGTGCCTCTCCTAAGCAGAGCAACCAGCTTTGTTACATTCATGCCAATATTGCTGGTAATTTAGAGATATTTATACACACATGCACAAGCTCTAAACACAGTATATATTTAGAAGAATATCATAAAGCATGGTTCTTTTTCTGTCTAGACAAAATCATTTAACAGGAGAACCAAACTCTCTTGTGAGAGAGATCTGTAATTCTTGGCATTTTTTTTTGACTGTAGAATTTTGGAGCTGGATAATTTTTTTCAGATGCTGAAGAAGAAACATGCTTTAGCATCTATTTTTTTCATCATAACTCATGTTGACACTATATACAACCAAATCCACATTTTAATGGAAGAACACTATGCATTTGTGCCAGAAGTGTGCTCTAATGGCACTGTTTTGCACTGCTGTACAGGAGGATTGCAGTTTATAGATTGTAAGGCCTGGTAGTAACATGGACTACCTCAATGTTCTCCTTGTCTCAAAAAAGGTAGGGAAGAAATCTTCTTGAGCTCTCTCTCACCAAAGGAAAAGTTAAAAGAATGGGTTGCTATCTTTCTGCAAAGGTAGAAAGTAAAAAGGAAAAGAAAGTTTTCAAAGATCACTCCCTAAAAATAATCTTCAGTAACTACACAGGCAGTTTCAATCTTTAAGTAGCTGAAGAAAAGTTAAGTCTAGTAAAAGACAATGCTTTTATTTCCTGGGCCATTGTCCTATGGTTATAAACTAATTAAGCATTCTCAGTTACTTTGCATATTTTGTAGTTGCTGAGGGACATTCATCTGGACCTCAGGACAGGTTTAGATAGTTAATTCTCCATAGGTTTATCAAATGTTTCTCACACTGGGCCTAATTTCTTTAACAGGTTATCATGTGAGGGAGAAATCTAAGCGACTCATTACCTTGTTAACAGATGAACAGTTGCTGCATAATGAACGTGAAATAGCATGGAGAACTAGGCGTCGCACCTCCTATGCAATGCTCGTTCCTAAGGATGCTACCACCAAGGACTATTCACCAACAATGTCTGCCTCTGAGCCCATACCAGAGCCTCCTGATTCAGAAAATGCTCAAGGTAAAGATCTCAGCCTTAAACGCTAAATACATATGTACCAAAAGCTTTAGACATCAGTACAGGTGGGACTTTGCATTATCAAAACAATGTGAAAAAATATACCATAAGGAAAGATGAAGAACTTAAGAAAGAAAAGGGTGATGAGGCAAATCATGAAGGAGCAAAGTGATGCATTCGTTCCAGTACTTTTCATTTACTAATCTCAAATAAAATTAGTTCTCAAATGGTGAGGTATTTTAACCTATTTCCCAGTAATTATATCTCCTTTCCAGATAAGTTTCACAGTTTTTAACAAAGCTTGGTTTGAGAGTCTTTACCCAAAACTGAAAAAACAGAGCGTATGAATGATCAAAGTTAAAGTGATTTGGTAAAAGTGCATAGGAGTCCCAGAGCCTTGTTGCAGGGTAATTTTGGGCAGTTCCTGGAGCTCTTAACCCCTGGATTGCCTACATATTAACACTGACACCTAAAACTAGTTTTAAGCACTTGTTATACTTGAAGAATGAAGAGCTGCTGTGGGTCAGAATTAAGGGGCCATAGCAGATCTGTGTGGAGGATACTAGGACTGCAATAGCAAGAATTGTTACAAGTCAGCATTATGGAACCCTGGCAAAGTAGTTTAGGGATTTTAGGACTGAAACAGAAATGAGGCAGTAGTTAAGACTCTACTGCATTGGCAAAATCAAGGTAAATAGAGCACAACTAGAACAGGGCTGCAGTGGAGATCAGTGTTCCGTGCAGTAGTAGAGAAGAGTAGCAGCACACCACTTGTGTGGCACTAACCTTGAATCTAGACAGCTGTCATTTAGTGAGAACCCCCTCAAATTCACCCAAACAGTACAGCATACACATGAAAAAGGAGGAAATTGATTTTGGGATATTTTGGTGACAAATAAAAAACCTCTCAAGGTTTCAGACTGATCATTCTTTCTAGGATCACTGTCACATGGCATCAACTATAAGATAACTTCCAAATAAGGTGACCGTAGCCTGGTGTGAACTAAACCAAGAAGGCTCTAGGCCAGTGAGAGAGAGCCTACAGGTACAGTTATTTTCAGTGGTTTGACTACTACTTTTTTATACATCATACATTAGGGGAAACAAACACATAAAGGCTATCCATTCACGAGTAAATAATTCTACATAACATTTAAAATTTAAAATAGAAATAGAGTACAGCTGGTGAATAATTGATATTGCCAGGAGTAAGTTCTGCTCAAACACTCCTCAAAATGCTGTAAATTTTATCTGAACTGAGGATGTGCTTTAATATAAAAAATAAATGTTTATCCAAGTGGGGTTTTTTTGCTTGTTTTTGAGAGTTGTAGATGCCAAGTATAGAATTAAATGTTATGTAGCAGGAATATCCAAGCTGACATACAGTCTAAACAACCAACCAGACTCAAGAGATGTACAATATTTAGTTTGTTGCTGCACCTTTCACTCTGCCCTATGTTTTTTTGATATTCTTGCATTTTATATGCAGTCCATTTAATATACAAGATCTTATGCTGTCCAGGCACATCAAAGGAAAACCTGAGATGCTACAATTCTTGAGCAGCAAGGGAACAAAGTTAGATGTGGTGTCCATGTAAAGAATTACTTCCAAGACAGTGGATTATATCACCACCTGTAGGTGTGTTCCAATATGGCTCACCTGATACAATTTACTGTATATAGTCTCAGTGCTAGCCCTTGCTGGGCTTGTCTACATGGGGCCCTTTTAAGCAGGATTAGCCTAAAACCGGTATTTTTAAGTTGCATTAAGAGCGCATGTCCACACGTCTGCCATGAATGCGCCTTAAAAATGGTGATTTTAGGCTAATCCCACCTAAATTTGATACCTGCTTATAGCAAGTACCAAATTTAAACTGGCATAGCTAAGTCACATTAGTCCATGTGTTGATGCTTCATATTAACGTGGTGTGTGTCAATGGACACACACCATGTTAATGTGCAATAGCATGGCTACATGTACACTGATGCAATTTAGCTATGCCAGCTTAAATTCAAAGTGCCTTAATGCGCATTAGCATGTCTATGTGTAGATGTTTACCTAAATTGCCTAAATGCACCTTAAACAAAGGCACATTAAGTTTAGGTGTGCATAATTACATGTGTAGACATGCCTGCTCTGTAGTAACTTTTAGGTCTTACATGCACTGGAAGTTCAGCTGCTGGGTTGCAGAGAGGGACTCCATTCCTATGTCTGCTTCAGTGCTTGGTAAACAGTTGGCAGTCATGTTGTACTTAGACCTTTGTAAGGTCTTTCAAAATGGGCTTGATGTTTACATACCATATGGGATATACTATCTGATTACCATAGCATTAGGGGCTGGAATTTCAGTCTAATAATTTTTTTAGCTGATAGGGTTTTAGTACCACTCAGAGCACCACTCGTTCTTTGTAAATTATACAGAGGAACAGAAAGCAAACATTTTTCGTATGCCTCCCACCTTGCAATTGCTGAGCTTTCATTCCCCCCTGCCGTCAGACAGAAGACACAGTCCACTTCATTTTCCAGGAACCCTTCTAACTCTCCCTGCAAATAATTCCAGCTGATTGATCTCCCAAACCCTTAGAACACTGTGCAGTTCTGTAGTGGATGACACCTGAGAAATGAGTGTTTTAAGGGTTGTTAAGTCTGCCTTAACAGCTAGTTAATTGTAATCAAATAAAAGAAAAAAAAGAGCAGTCAGAATGATATATAGATTATAGTAGAGGAGTACATCTAATCATATATATTAAAGCCTAGTTTTTCAATTTAAAAATCTAGGTTTTACAGTCCCTCTGTTTTTGCAGTTATTGGCTTGCTTTTCCTCACATTGTATTGTCTTCCCAAGTACTCGTTCATGGAGATTGTCTTGACAACCTAGTTTAAATTAAATCTTCCCAAGGCCAAGTTCTATTAAAAGTTAACTAGGGAAAATAATATTGATAACAAATTATTAACAATTAAGTTACCTGCAGTGGAAGCTTAGCATAAGCATATTGGATAGGTATCACTCATGCAGAGCCACTGAACTTCATCCAGTCACAGGAAACGGTAGAGTCCAATCATGAAGAGCACAGACAAAGTAACAGAGAACTGTTACTCACCACATCCCAGAATACAAGAACTAGGTGGCATCCCCTGAAATGAGCAGGAGACAGGTTTAAAACTAACAAGAGAAAGTACTTTATGCAGCACATGACTAACTGTGGAGCTTATTACTAAAGGAGGTTGTAGAGGCAGATAGTATAGCCAGGTTTGAAAAGGGAGTAGAACCAGTGGTTCTTGACGTTTTTAGATTCAGGATACCCCTCCAAAACCTTTTTTACTTTGGTGACAACACAAGTTGAGAACCACTGTTGTGTTGCCTCAGCTTACCTTAATGGTTCTCAGTCAGAGTGTTGCTGCATGCTCATGCCTGTACTAGTGTTATCTAATAAATCTAATGCAGACAGCAGCAGAGGGATAACTAATGTGCTTTACACCCTGGACAACTTCCCTGTGTCTCTGGGGATCAGGGGAGCTGGAGAGCAGTGGGGGAGGGAACAGGAGGGTGGTCTTACCTGCCCTGAATGTCTCCATAACTGACACCTCTGGCTAGGTGGTAGACAGGGTTCCTCCAGCCCAGCCTGGCTCTTCTGGCCAGGCAGTGCACAAGGCTGGGCACAGGGCTGCAGCTGGAGAACATGCTTTTGCCACAGCCCTTCCCAGTCCAACCCCACAAGCTCTTCCCAGAAACAGAGAGGTGTGGGACAGTCCATTTGGCTGGCATGCTTCCATTTCCAGGAGGAGCATTCAGGATTAGATCAGGAAGGGCTGCATAAAGAGTGCACTTCCTGCTCTGTTTTTACAGGAGGTGCACAAGGAACTTCTACCTGACCATGGCAGCACCTATGCTGTGGAACTCCAGTAGAGAACCACTGAACTAGACAAATTCATGGATGATAGACCCATGAATAACTATTAAATAAAACAGTCAGGGATTCTCTGGCATCTTTAAGCCAGTGATGGTAGATGCTAGGCAGGGTGTGACAGAAGATAGCTCCGTCTGAATACACTCTGTTCTTGTGCTTTCCCTCCAAGGCATTTACTCCTGCTGTTTTTAGGAACAGAATACTGGACTAGATCGACCATTGGTATGACCTATTATAGTACTTCTGAGTGCACACGTCTAATTCTAAAGGCTCGTTCCTGCTCAGTGTTGAGAGATGGGGACTTTTTGGTTGAGGTTCCTACCAATATACCCCTGAGAAAAGGATGAAGAATTCTTTCCTGACTCCAAATGATGGTCATTTATATATTTTATCTGAATAAGAACAACAGTTAAGCGACTAATCCCAATTATAACCCAAGATACCACTGATGCTTGGTTTTCAATCTTCTTCACAATTTTCTGGTATAGAGATTGTGCAGATAAGTTGTGTTAGATTCTCATTTATCCTCAGGCCCTTTTTGTATCATCTATCACATAAAGGCACTTTAAACTATAATGTATGTAAAAGAATCTTAATGTAAATGAGAATTAGATCTATTGAGCTCAGTAGCCTGTGGCTTTCCTTTTGTGATGTGTAGAGGAGAGATTCTGTTTACTAGTAATATTAACTTATTGCCAATAAAATTGTGTATCAGCTTTCCCCATGTAATATAATGAGAGAATCCTGGATGAATATAGTCTACTTCAACCATGGTGAATGATGTTACAGAACACTCTCACTCACAGTAATATGAATTGTAGCCCGGGTGTACACGGGTATGTACTCCCTTCTCCAACTGAAGGGGATTGTTAGCTGGCAGGGATGCTGTGAGCAAAACTGCAGACTACTCAGTTTCCCTCTGTCCCAAAGGAGCCAGGCCAGGACAATCTGGAACTTAACTATGTACAAATTTATTATTATTTACATAAATGGATAAAAACAGACATAAATATAAACATACGTACAGATATAAATATATGACAGCATATATTCAGAGAGATATATATAACTATAAACCTTATACTCTACAATGG